GGTATTCCCTGGGGACTTCATTGCTCTGTTCCCTTTGCTGTTCTGTTGCACACCCTTAGTGTTTGCCTCGGTGTGGTGGGATCAGATCGGGCAGAATTCCCACACTATGTCTCCAGTTTTGTCCCCTGTAGGGCTATGGGTCAGTGAGGGATGCCGTGTCTCATAGTGGGGCCAGCCATACGGTCCTCTTTGTGGACTGGCTGCTCTGAGAGGGAATATCGTCCTCCAGGTTAGGTGGGCCAGGTTGTGCTCGACACTCTTTTCCTCCCCATTCATTTGCTCCCGTGTGCTCTGATCAGACTTGTCCCTATTCCCGAGCTGTAGGTTCAGTGCTGTCCTCTGAAATAAATTCTTCTGCGGGAAGGGGCAGGTGCCCACGTAGTTGGGATTGGGGCCAGCCCCTCAGACCTCTCCACTGGTTCCCTACTCCATGCCAGCATGTTGCATTCACATTCTTAATGCTCATTCATTCCTAAAATCAAGCCTGAGAGGCAGATACTCATTCCATTTTAGAGAAGAAGAAACTGAGACACAGAGGTAAGTAGGTTTCCCAAGATTGTGTAGCCAGTGAATTGTAGAAGCACAAGATGGAGGTATATGGAGCCAAAATTCTGATTTTAAAAAGTATATGATATCAAAACACATCTATCTTAAAAATAATTCCTATGTCTTATTTCAGCTGTAATGGGTCATGTTATTGTGTTACTATAAATATTTGTAACATTTAAATATAATGTGAATATTTGCTACATCTGAAATAATTTTCAATACTTTGAAATTCTATATATTTTCCTAAACTTACAAAATGTTGCTAAGCGTTTATGGAAAATAGTCTATCAACACACTTAAAATGATTTCTATATACAACTTTAATATTCTAAAATATGATATGCTCACTCACAATAATAAGCCTTTTGAAGTTCTAGGTATGAGGAAGTGCATTCTGTATAAAGAAACATATCCTTGTATGCAATTCCCTGTGAAAATGTGCTGCTGAGATTCTTTGCTTGAAGCC